TAGTGTAGACATACCCTGACTTCCTACTGTAAGAAATCAGTGCTTCTTGCGAAAATACTATTCTGCTCCTGTTCAGGCAAAAGTCCCTTTTACGCAAAGCTTTTGCGCAAAAGTGCCAGTGTAGACAGCACAGATTTGTTTTCCGCAAAAAAGCCCAGATCGTGAAAATGGCAATCGGGGCTTTTTTGCGGAAAAGCGCATCTAGATTGGCACGGACGCTTTTCCGCAAAAAGTGCTTTTGCAGAAAAGCATCCATGCCAATCTAGAAGCTCTGTTCTGAAAATTCTTTTAATGGAAAACTTTTCCGTTAAAAGTATTTCCGGAAAATCATTTCCGGAAAATCATGCCAATCTAGATGCAGCCCTAGAGTTTTCAAGTACCTGATAAAGCTTGCTCTAATAGATTTTCTTTCTTTTTGTGTTTGGATGTAGGACCTACATCAGAATGTAAGAGCAGCAATAGTGGGTAACAATGGTCCACCTAGCCACTATCCTGTCATCCAACAGTGGCCAACGCCAGGTGTTTTAGAGGGAATGAACAAAATGGATAAACATCAAGTGATCCATCCCCTCACATTCCTAGATTCTGGCAAAAAGCGGCAAGGAACAACACTCCTGCCCATCCTGGCTAATAGTCATTGATGGACCTATTCTCTATTAACTTATCTAGCTCTTTTGGGACCCACTTATACTCTTGGCCTCACAACACCCTTTGGCTATGTCCATACTGCACTCTCTTATGCAAGAACATATGCAAATGAGGCAAAGTGGTGAATATCACCATGCCTCATTTGCATACTTAATGATATACCATTTTGTGCAAAAAATCCTCTTGCGCAAGAGCTATTCTGCCGCTTTTTTTTCCAGGCAGAACAGCTCTTGCACAAGAGGAGGATTTTGCCATGTAGACAGCTCCTTTTTGTGCAAAAGCCCCTTGAGCAAAAATGGCAGCTCATTAATTATGCAAATAAAGTGCAGCAATATTCATTTGCCTCATTTGCATATGTTCTTGCTCAAGAGAGCGCAGTATAGACGTAGCCTATACTGAAAGAGTTCCACAGTTTGACTCTGTGTTGTGTGAAGAAACACTTCCTTTTGATTGTTTTAAACTTGCTGCCTACGCATTTCATTTGATAACCCCAAGTTTTTGTGTTATGAGGAGTAAATATTATTTTCTTATTTGCTTACTCCACACCCATCATGATTTTTTTACAGACCTCTGTCATATCTCCTCTTAGTCATCTCTTTTCTAAGCCTGAAATTACAAGTCTTATTAATTTCTCCCCATAAGGAAGTTGTTCCATACCCCTACTCATTTTTGTTGGCATTTTCTGAACCTTTTACAATCCAATATATCTTTTTTTGAGATTGGGTGACCACATCTGCACTCAGTGTTCAAGATGTGGGAGTATCATGAACTTATAGACACATAGTATGATATTTTCTGCTTTATTCTCTATCCCTTTCTTAATGATTCCCAACATTCTGTTTACTTTTTTGACTGCTGCTACATATTGAGTGGATGTTTTCAGAGAACAATCCATAATGACTACACTTCTGGGCACCACATTTCAAGAAAGATTTGGAGAAGGTCCAGAGAAGAGCAACAAGAATTAAAGGTCTAGAGAACATGACCTACGAAGGAAGACTGAAAGAATTGGGCTTTAGTTTGGAAAGGAGAAGACTGAGAGGGGATATAATAGTGGTTTTCAGGTATCTAAAAGGGTGTTATAAAGAGGAGAGAGAAAAATGGATCTCTTCAGCCTCCGAAGATAGGACAAGAAGCAATGGGCTTAAACTGCAGCAAGGGAGGTTTAGGTTGGAATTAGGAAAAACTTCCTAACTGTCAGGGTGGTTGAACACTGGAATAATTTGCCTAAGGAGGTTGTAGAATTTCCATTTCTGGACATATTTAAGAGCAGGTTAGATAGACATCTCTCTGGGATGGTCTAGATAATACTGGGTCCTGTCGTGAGGGCAGGGGACTGGACTCAATGACCTCTCAAGGTCACTTCTAGATCTAGTGTTCTGTGATGCTAAGATTTTTTCCTAAGTGGTACCAGCCAATTTTGACCCTATAATTTATATGTATAGTTGGGACAATGTTTTCCAATGCACGTAGCTTTGCATTTATCAACATTGAATTTCATTTGTTTCCCAATCACCTGTTTTTGTGAGATCCCATTGTAAGTTAAGTTCACAGCTGACTGAAAAAACTATCTTGAATAGTTGTGTCACCTGCAAACTTTTTCACCTCACTGTTTACCTCCTTTTTCCATATAATTGATAAATATGTATGTTGAATAGGACTGGTCCCAGTAGATATCCCTGATGGCGACCACTAGTTACCACTCTCCATTCCAAAAACTGAGCATTTATTCCTACCTTTTGTTTCCTATCTTTTAACTAGTTATCAATCTATCTTCCCTCTTATCCCATGACAGCTTACTTTGCTTAAGAGTCTTTGGTGAGGGACCTTATGAAAGGGTTTTTGAAAACCTAAGTATATTACATCCACTGGATCCCCCTTGTCTGCATGCTTATGGACCCCCTCACAGAATTCTAGTAGATTGAGGAGGCATGATTTCCCTTTGTAAAAAAACATTCCTCACCACTTCTTTTCCCACAAATTGTGTTCATCTACATGTCTGATAATTCTGTTCTTTTCTATGGTTTCAATCAATTTCTCCAGTATTAAAGTTAATCTTACCAGCTTGTAATTGCCATATCATCCTTTGGAGGGTTTTTAAAAAATTGGCACCACATTAGCTCTTTTCCAGTCATCTGGTATAGAAGTTGATTTAATTAATAGGTTACATATCATGGTTTGTAGTGCAGCAATTTCACAACTGAGAGCTTTCAGAACTCTCGGGTAAATATCACCTGGCCTTGGTCACTTAAAGCATGTACACCATTAATGGTAGTATTATACAGAGTTTACATGGATGAATTTATCATAATACAACCAAATGTTGATATCATCCTTCTCTGATAATATTGTCTGAATTCTGTTTTATGGTCTCTCTTCTTGTAATTTTTTAGACGTGCAAACTAACCATAAAGCATTTTGGAGTAAAGTCTCTATTTACTTATAACTAGAAGGCATTTTAGTTCAGGAAGAATCGGCATTACTTCTTTTATGAGGCACCTTTGGATAAATATAAATTTCTGTTGCCATGCTAACAGGGACTCACTCAACTGATTCCAGTAAAACAAAAGAATGTTAGTGACACTGCTTTGTAAAATATAATAATACAACAACAAAGCTGCAGGTCTTGCCAATTGCAGTGGATTTTTCAATTCAATTCCTACTTAGTATATGTATTTTTGACAGTGTTTGTTTAATGTTCTATGCTTCTTTTCAAGGGGATGAGGACTACTGTAAAATAGCCAACATATTCAGGAGCTTGAAAATGTAAATTCAATGCATAGGCAAATTCCTTCAATCAATTTATTTACCATGCAAGTTATTTTCAGGATCATTTTCATCATGTTCATTTGCCATCAACCTCAGACTTCCTCTTTACTCTAGGGGTTCTCTTTTATGTTTTGCAGGATTATATTTTGCAAGATACTGTCATAGTAATGGTTAATGGAAAGAAATTAAATACCCCCTAACACACACACTTTAGGGCTAAAAAAATGTATAAGATGTACATGAAATTTGCTGCACTGGTTTTGTAGCTGTTCCCCATCAACTTTGATTTTCAGAATTGTTAACTGTGTTAACTTCACAGTGACAGGATATAAAAGATAACTGATGTGTGAAAGCTTCAAAAAGAGATTGGGGGAAAGAACCACTATTTTAAATAAGAAACTCTTTCCGATAGCAAGTTGATGGCAAGATTTAAAAAAACCAGTATGCAGAGGTGCACCTTGGAAATTATGTCCTGATAAAATAGGATATCTCCATTATTTTAGATGGTAAATTATTATTAGCACACTGATCATTCATCCTTTCCTCCATAAAAATTCACTGTTACTCAAGTACTGCAGTTTTATTACATCATAATTTCAGAAAGTTCAGAATTCCTAAAAAAGAAAAAAAATGTCCATGGCTATACTGCTGCCTTTGGGGAGGTTGATTATTAACAGTTACAAAGTTGGCAACCCATGAAATAATGTGGGAAATGGATGTATCCCTATTTTTCCCCCTGAAAATGTGGTCTTATACACCTCTGTAGCCACATAATTAATAAGGTAGGTGTGTGAAATTCAAAGCCTAAAATGAGAAGGGGAAAAAGTATTTACTGATACAGATAACCCCTCACCTGAATAGCTGTCAGTCACTGTCACAGATGTATTTTAAAGACACATGCATGCTAACCCTTACAATAGACTCAGAGGGGTAGCTGTGTTAGTCTGTAACTTAAAAAAATAACAACTTGTAGTCCTGTAGCACCTTGTAAGGGTTAGAAACTAACAAGTTATATAGATATTATATATAGTATCAAGAATTTTTGTGGGGTTTGCCCACGAAAGCTCATGATAATATATACCTTATTATAGAATCAGTCTTCTGCCCAGTTGAACAGCTTCACTCGCCTTCGTGAAAGCCCAGTCTCAAAAAAAAAATGAGCCTTCTGCACCATCCATTGGCTTACGTTAGGAGCATTGCACCCACCAAAATCTGTTGTCTACTAGCTACTTCTGAGCCAGCTAGTCGTCCATACAAAATTATTTCTCTTCGGTGTTTTCATATACTCAGTTGACCTGCAGGTGTCAGACTTCACCTGCAGTAAACCAGACCGAAGGCACTTTCTACAATGTCAACAATGAAACTGATTGCGATCAAACACAACAACAACAAGCACGTTTATTATGTAAGGGGAGGGGGGCTAAAACGCGAGGTGCAAGCGGGCACAGCACCCCAGCCATCACTGCGCGCTTTCATGTGGGCAAAAGTTAGCCCAGGCCAGCAACTGGGGGCGTCTCTTAGAAGGAACAACGCAACACCAAAGCGTCAAGAAGAAAAAAATTCCCAAAGGGGTCAGAACTTACTTGGTTTACAGGCACGCGTTGCTAGCCAGCGTTTTTCCTTCCGCTCGTCAGGGCGCATTTCAATCCCAATTGTAAATTAAAGCCATTTAGGGTGTGTGTGTGTGTGGGGGGGGGGGGGTATTTGTTTGCAATCGCCCAGCTCATCCACTTTTCCCCATTTCTATTGTATTCTCCTCATCGTTCAGCCACCCTGGGCCAGTTCAGGTGGTCTTCATCACTTCCACCCACGCAGACCTCGCCTGGAGCTTGGCTGGAGTGCAACAGATGAGCGGCAAATTCCTCCCTCCCTGGTTACTGTGGCGTCTCATTACTCTGCCTGGGAATCCCATGCCGAGCGCAGAAAGTCACAGTCCCTTCCCGGGAAAGGTTTCCTGCTGGAGGAGAAGCTGCGAGGCATGGGCACGAGAGGGGAAAGCACACGCATAAGCCTCAGTGGGTGCTTTCCTGCCCGGGGGATCCGCTGCGCACCTCTGCCACAGAAGAGATCCCTCTTGTGGGAGAGCGCCCCTTGGGTTCGCTTGCGCGCTGGTTTGCTCCGTCAGCTTTCCCGCGCGAGCATTACTTTCTGCCTTCCCCTCCTTGCTGTGTGCGGAGCTGCTTCCCGAGAGGGGAAAGCACACGCATAAGCCTCAGTGGGTGCTTTCCTGCCCGGGGGATCCGCTGCGCACCTCTGCCACAGAAGAGATCCCTCTTGTGGGAGAGCGCCCCTTGGGTTCGCTTGCGCGCTGGTTTGCTCCGTCAGCTTTCCCGCGCGAGCATTACTTTCTGCCTTCCCCTCCTTGCTGTGTGCGGAGCTGCTTCC